CCTGAGAAGCGGCTTTACGATAAACAACGCTTTGCGATTTACAATCTAGTCTTCTGGTAATTGGAATATCTCAAATTGAAAAGAAATTATTGAGTTTATCTTCGTGAGATAGAAATACGTGAACAGAAAAAGTTAAAATGTTTGAAACCAAATTCAAAAGCTTCACGGTTTTAAAGAATAAAAACACTATCCACATGGTGCTTGTGTAGAAAGGACCTCCTAATATTATAGGCGATTTTTCGGTAAATCATTCATAAAACACGCCTGTTAGAATTGAGTCTGAAAGATGGTCTTGGTTACATCTATTTGTACGTGTTTCTTTAAAAAAACAAAAATAATGCTTTAATACAGAGAATGTTAGCCCTCCTAATTATTTAAGAGCGATAATAGGAAAGAATTACCTGAAGAAGCATAATCCCATAAAAAATCAGTTTTTGCATGAACAAGTGTGCTGGTGAAAACATAATCTTCTACATCTATCAAATATACTGTTTTCAACGTCAATGTAATTTTTCCTTAAACATTTTGGACTTCTGAACAATGATTCAAACAATGAGATACCAACATTTACAAATGGGGTTCAAATGAGTATATGGGATATGGTGAACCTTGCATATATAACATCTGTCTGAGAGTAGTCCAGGAGTTATGCACATTAAGCGAGCCTCTTGTTTCTGATGTTCACACTGGCTTCAGTTGTTAGTCCTGGGTTTCAGATATGAAGAGATGTTGTAACATAATCTGTTATTTTCTTGCTTCAGGACCTTTAATGAGGCATTAACTATCCGGTATCTGGCCTAGTTAAAAGCTTACCATAATCCATTAGCATTTCCTTAATTTTAGTTACATAACCATCCCTGGTCAGAAACACACTGTACTACACACCTTTTATGGTTTTTAAATCTGAGATGTTTATTCATTTTTAGTTTCTGGATCGTCTTCTGGTGTTTATCAGCAAGAGGATAGTGTACAGGGCCTCCCAGCTTTCTCTGACTACGTGGATCAAAGGCTCTTCGTTTGATCGTGAAGGATTTCTAATGGAAGTTGTCTGGGGACTGCCAACCTTTTGTGATAGAACGTAGTTTTGTATATTTCGAAGGTGGCGATTGTTCGTATGTTTAAATGTTTGGATTATTGTATGATAAACATAGGTGAATGCTTTACTAGTGTAGTACGGGGTGAGTTATTTAAGTGTACGTCCGTTTTGATAAATCGACTTACAATCCAAAAGAAGAACTACAATCTTTTGTTGTATTTCAACAAACTCCTTCATTGATACTATGAGAGTCTTCATGTAACACATTGTAGTTAGTGATATGGTTGGTTGCGTTAATTTGTAAATCAGCCCTCATAAGGGTCTTCGAGAACTGACGCCCAGAATGCACACAATACTTGTATAACTGCTTAAGGTTTTCTTAAGCTATGGTTTAACGGCATAATATGAGCGGATGCTCAGGAACTTGCTTAGTGAAAACACAGGGTCTTTGCTTTAGACCTTGAAGGCATTTGGTTCCCTTGTTCCTGTTTGTCCTACAGCAGTGAATTGAGAGATGCATAGAGACATAGTTAAGTCACTTCCGGTCATGATCCAATGTAGTAAGTGAACCCGTTGTTTTCCTGCTAAGGCCCTTCTCCTTTATTCACCACACATAAAACATTTACTTAGTAGTTTAGCAGCCTGATTTAGGCTAGTTGTTACTCTAAAGCAGCCAAAAATCTGTCATTGAAGTACCGTTAGCTTCA